AGGTTTGAATCTTTTAGACACCACCAAAGTTTAATTTCATGTTCTGTTGCGGAGATACCTAAAGTTTCGGTCTTGTGGCAAACCCAATCAGAAATTTCAAATTCCATTTCCCTAAATGTTAGTGTAGTAACAGAGGGATTTTTTTTCAGGCTGCTACATAGAACCTCTGTATAGGAGAGAGGGATATGGAATCAATGTATTAAAAAATCCCCTGAATTTGCCATTCTGACAATATTTTTAAGAGATTTTTATGCTTCAGTATCTCTTCTGGTCCTCTCTGAAACTTAGACATTTGTAGAAATGTCCTTATCATTAAGTCATTTGTTTGGCTTAAGAGGTAATAGGATAGTTAAAATGGTTCTTAGAATAGTTAGGTTTTTTGATACCCATTAAAAAACCCAATTATTTAAAACAAAAAATACTACAGAAATATCTCTGCATTGCTTTCCCCTTATTACTGTTGTGTTCATGTTTAGTGCTATAGTGCTGTATTTCTAAGCATCACAGACAACCTCCTAATTGATCACCTATGTGTGTTTGCTTCCCATAAATGCACTTTAGATTAAGTATCTCATGACAATGTATGCTAAAGAATGCTTTCATAGAATCACAGAACACCAGGTTGGAAGGGACCTCGAGGATCATCTGGTCCAACCTTCCTTGGCAAAAGCACAGTCTAGGCAAGGTGGCCCAGCACTGTCTGACTGAACCTTCAATTTGTTTAATGTTGGAAATCCTCACTTGCCTGGGGAGATCATTCTCATTGTGAAAATTTTCCCCTTTTGTCCAGTCATAATCTCCCCATAAGTAACCTGTAACCACTATCTCTTGTCTTCTCCACTTGATTCCTTGTCAAAAAGGAGTTGCCATCATCTTTGTAGTTGCCCCTTACTTACTGGAACATGGTGATGAGGCCTCCCCTGAGCCTTCTTTTCTCAGGCTGAATGAACCCAGTTCTCCCAGCCTTTCCTCATACAACAGCCTTCCCAGTCCTTCAATCATCTTTGTGGCCCTTCTATGGACTTTTCAGCCTGTCCACATCTTTTTTGCAATAGTGGGGACCAAAACTGAACACAGTATTCCAGGTGTGGCCTGATAGTCACTGAGAAGAATAGGATATAAGTTGAATGACATTTTGGAATACTGTATTTTAGACAGATTTTGCAACTATTCACTTTTTCTTCCTTTACTATTTTAGTCAAGGTTCAACTGGTTAATTGGAACTTCACTCAAGTTTTCCTTACATAAGCTTAATTTTTATTTATAACTATTTATTTTGCTTATTAAAATATAGATGTGGTAATCAGGCATATAGTGGAGGTAGTTGTAATTAAATTACTAATGCACAACTTTATTTTTCCAGGCAATTTGAAAAGTTAGATCTTAGAATTAATTATAATGTGTTTGTATAGACTTAGCTGGAAGTGTACTGCAGTTGTGTGACTTTTTCATGGACTGTTTAAGTGCTCAGGGGATGGGGACTGTCCAACCCTTTCCCCTTCCTCTTCTAAATGTTGTTTTCTATTCTTTCCCACTTAATGAACTAACTTCCATTCTTGAGTGCCATTGTAACAGACTTAAGGCACTTCTTGACAATGTTCCCTTTATGTGATGTGAGGCAAGTTAAATCCTTTTCTTTACTGCCATGTACTTGTTTGGGGAAAGGATTACAGGCTTTCTGAAGCCTGTAAGATTTATGAACTCAGCTTCCACTGCAAGTTAGTAGAAGTCAAGGGTTGCTGTATAGATACAGGCTTTCTTTATTCCTGACTTTGCCCAGTTTCTGGGGCCAGACCATTGAAATGTTGGCTTGCATTCCAGGTTATAAAATAAATGGTACCAGAGTTGAGCTGGGTTTGTGTTTATTCTTGCTTTGGCCTCTTCCCAAGTTACACAACATACAACAGTGCCCATAATTTGATGTGCTTTCAGTTAGCAGCATTTCTAGAAGCAAGTTGATAAAGCCTGATGAGCTAAATCCAGTTTTTTCTTGTGAAGGGGAGTGGGAGGAATGTTTTCCAAAACTCTGGGATGTTAGAAGAGCAGTGGAATCTGTCAAACAACCATGTAAACTTAAGAAATGGAATAGGAGAAAGCAGAGCTGTTTGTGTTTGCTTTCTCACATGGAAAGCATCTCTGGAATACAACTGAAAGGGCCTGCATAAAAAATACCTCTTTGTAAGTCACTGTTAAAAGTTGACAGCAGAAAAAGGAGGATAAATTTACTTGTGGAATGGCAGTGTAGGAATAGAAGAAGAAAAAAAGATGTAAAAAAAGAGCAGAAAGAAAAGTATCTAATGAAAGGTGCAGTCTCTGGTGTTGGAGGATAATAAAATTCCAGTTAAATAATAAAAGGAGAAGAGACCCAGTATTGTCAGTGTGACTCGTAACAGTAACATCAAGTTTAGATAAGTTAAACATTTATCAGGACAGGGTTAAATTAATTTAAAAAATTAACCGATTTGAAATCATACTTGGTTTTGCTCAAGTGTTTTCTAGATTATTCTTTCCTAATCCACTTACCTCTTCCTTTGGTGTCCTTTTAAGATGTCTCTCTAAAAAGAAATACAGAGAACATTTTGAGAAAAAGATATCCAGCCTCCAGGCACCCCCAAATAAAATTGATAGCTCATGGAACTTGGAAAAGATTCAGCTATACTGATTTAAATCTGTATGTTTCTGTAACTTAAAATACCAAGCAAAGGTGTTCTTAATTTAAAATGTGGTCTTATTGGTATTTTATGAAAAATGTTTCTTAGAAGGCTCCAAATATTTAATTTTCTGTAATGTGCAGGCTACTTTGTGTGTACATACACAGTAGCATTTGAGCTTTCTCAAGCGTTATAGTTGAACTTACTGCCACTTACTTTCTATTCTCCCTTGCAATCCAGTTTATATTGAAAATACTCATCTTTGAAACTAGTATGTTTTACAGCATTTATCAAAAGTGCTTAGAAGAGAGAGAATAACAATCTAGAACACGTTATAGGGCAAAAACAGTTCTATGTTTGTCTTTTTACCATTTGAAGTTTAGGCTTAAGGTGGAGTTTTGTATTAGTTTAGATTAAAAACCACATTATTCAATACTTTGAGGATTAAGATTATTCTTTAAAAATTAATTAGAACCTGTTAAGGCAGCAGATTCCATTAACTCATTCCAGGCAAAATTGCAAGTGTTAAGTTAGGACAGGGATCTGCATATCTTGTTTCAACAGCACTGCTATCTGATCTGTTTTAATGTATGGATACTGGTAATAACACTGTATTTAGTATAAGTGTTTCTGTTAAGATAAATTGTTTGTGAATTTCCAGTGTTGAGAAAACAAGCTATGGGTTAAATTATAAATTACAAGTTTGAAAGTCTCTTCAATAATTTTTTTGTAAAGTATCAATGTACAATTTTGCTCTTTGAGCTGGATCTGTAACACTTTATTTACACATCTAGGAATACATATTAATATTTGGTGATATTGCCTTAATTTAACAGCACTACATTAACCACACTACTCCAACACTGTCCAAGAGTAAGGAGAGAGAAGTGGACAAGAAAGATTTGGACAAGTCAAGGGAAAGATCCAGAGAGAGAGAGAAGAAAGATGAAAAGGACAGGAAAGAACGAAAAAGGGTTGGTGAAATTTTTATGAACTAATTTAGAAAATTGGTAAATCTTTGAAAGGTTTTTGTTTCAAGTCCTTGCAGTAATGCTTGGTTATACAGCCTGTCCAAAGCAGAGTGATCCATATCAGGGTTGTTTTCCTTTGGTTCTGTTAATTTTTCAAAGGTCGGTTTACACTAATGTATTCAAAACTTCCCTTCAAAACCGATCTCAAGAAACTTTACACAGGATGTGATATCTCAGTTTCATTTTAAGTATTCAAAAAATAATTCTTCAAAGCAGCATTGTAAGCAGGTGCTACTTCAGGAGGATGATTTAGTCTGCTAACATCTGCATAATTGTATTTGGTGCCAGGATCATTCAAACAGTGACCGAGAGGTACCGCAGGATTCGACTAAGCGACGCAAAGAGGAAAATGGGACAAGTACGTATTTTGTTTTGTGTGTGTTTGCATTAGGCTTTTATGTGTTGTGAATTACAACTTTCTGTTGTCTTTTCAGCTGGTTCTTCAAAACACAGCAAGAGTGAAAGTCCTTCTGATTCCCCTCGCTTAACTGAAAAGGAGAAGGAGAAGAACAAATCAAAATCTTCAGGAAAAGAGAAAGGTGATTCAATTAAAGCAGAAAAGATGGAGAAGAGCTCCTCTGGCAGCAAAAAGGTAAAATAAGCTAAGATAATTTTGTTGATTTGATTTTTGTTGTTGTTGAAAGAACAAATAGATTATTTTTTCTTAAATTTTCTTGCTGCTTTATTGCCTAAATTAAAAAGTTATGGTGCGAATGTGTAGGAAAATGCTTCTGGAAATTCTGGCATCTTGTGACTTTAGTCACTCCTGGCAGGGTAAATTGGAGGAATACTTGAGTTAGGCAGTAGTCAGGAAAATTCAGAAATTATTCCAGATAATATTTGCAGGCTGGTTTGCTGAGCAAATATGTGAAAATGAGGTTAATTTACATATAAATTAGTCTGTCTTAAGATTTTCAAGTGCATGTGTCAGCACAGGGGGGTTTTTTTGTGAAAACGGGTAGGTATGTTGTAGTCATGTTTGTAAGATACCAAACAATAGTTCCCAGTTGTTTGAACTCTTTAGTGGTAGCAGTTGTCATAGAACTGGAAGACAAAGTTAGAATAAAAAAAAAAAAACCAAACTTGCGGTCATTCTAGCTGATTATTTTTTTTTAGCTGTGACCAGTTATAACTTGAAATATGTACAATCCTAATCATTCAGTACAATGTGTACTATAATAAAATATTTCCTTTATGTATATTTCTTTGAAGGAATCTAGACATGATAAAGAAAAAACTGAAAAGAAAGAAAAACGAGACAGTACTGGAGGGAAGGAAGAAAAGAAGCAATATCCTTTAACACATTAAACTTCTAAGGAAAACACAGAAAATAAACTTCTTTTTACTTTATGTAGTAAAATAATTTTCTTTTTTCCTTAACTTTGAATCTACTCATAAATCTTCAGACAAGCACAGATAATGAAGATTGTTCCAGATAAGGTAATTTTAAAAAATTTATTTACTCTGTTTAACTTGTTATCTCCTGTGGCTCTTTTTGACTGGTAAAGGATGTACAAATGAAACAGCCTGATTGTGAAAGGGCTGAAACTACAGAGGGTGGGTATTTTGGGATGGTTAGGGGTTTTTTTGTGTGTGTTTGTTTTTTGTTGTTGTTGTTTTTCATTCTATCCAAGAGAAAAATCTTTCCCCATCATCAGCATAGAGATTGTGCAGATATTAAATTATTTTGGGGGAAGTGTGGGGTGGGGGTCAGTAAGTGCATGTTTGGCACTTTTTCCAAGAAAGTGAAAACAAAACCAAAAGTGAATGTGTGATCCTGATAGTCGTCAGTCTTGGTAATTTACCTATTAAGAACATCTTGCCTAATATGTTGGAAACTTAAAGTTTTGTATCCTCTTATTTTTTCTTTAACAAAAGGACTATATTTTAAACCAAATTGTTATATAGTGTAGTAAGTCAGTTTATTATCTCTGCTTCATCTTTGATCAGATTTGAGGAGGAAGAAACCAAAGGAAATCTTCCACATGGAGGCATTGACTGTTTGCAGAAAGAAAATAAACTATTCGAATATTTGCAGAAAGAAAAGGAATTATTTGACTATTTGCAGAAAGAAAAGAAACTTCAGAGTATTTTGAGTAACCTATAATCAGATTTATGTTTTTTTATATATATACAGAGCTTTTAGAAAAATAAATTGTTCTTTGAAGCTGACAGTGTTCTGAATTTATTTTTTTTTCAGACCTATGCAGATATGTGGAAACTTAAATTTAGCTTTAGGGATATGATGGTGTCTTGTTTTTGGTTTGTTTTTTTTCTTCTTTGCATCTAGCCATCTAAAGAATGTCAGTGTTTCATTTTCAGTTATTTGGGGAGGAAAGGAAATTGCCCCAGTGAACTTAAAATTTGTTCACCTGAGCTACCCAACTTGAGTCACACACCGCTGCCAATCTTTCTACATAAAGCAGTGGACAATTGTAAATTTTAAAAAGTGTATATGTGTTGGGTAAACATGAACATAACTGGTAGTATTCAACAAGTATCAAAGGTTATGGCTTTTCTCTCTGTCCACGTATTTCTTAACGTTTGTTCTGTATTTATAACTGAAGAATTGTTTCAGTGAAAACTTTGTAAGTTCAGTGAGCACTCAACGTGAACTCAAGCAGAAATGAAGTAGATATAATTTTTTCTTCAGTTACACATTTTTCAAGATTTGAGATTATTTGCTTTCATAAAGTAGTATTTTTCTGACTACTGAACAATACATGAGGCGGACAGTTTTCCTTTTTGTCAGGAAAACAGATACTCTTAGGAGGAGGACAACATTTTGAAATGTGCAAGCCCTTTTTTGTCTCAGATTTTGAAGAAGGATTGATGAGACTGAAAATTTTTGTTCTCATGACTGTCTTGGCTGGTCTACAAAGTGATGCTGCCTTTCATCAAGTGATGCTACTTTTCACCAACATGATTTGTTTTGAATTCCATTTAAAGATTGGAGGGGGAGCTTTTTACTGTGAGGATGATCAAAAAGGACAACAGTTTGCCCAGAGGAGTGGCAGAGCTGCTATCAATCAGAGTATTCAAAATGTAACTTGGTGGGCCACAGCTCTGATCAACTGGTTCTACTCAAGCCTGCTTTTTGAGCAACAGTGTTGGATTGCACAGTCTTCAGATATCCCTTCCAACCTCATTGTTTCTGAAATTCAGTTATGTGGGTATCAGGTTTGAGAATACTTAAGGTGATATTATATGGCAAAACTTACTGGAGAGATTTATTGGCTGTGGCCTTTCTCTGTCTCCTAATGTCTGTACTTGCTTTAGTTGTCAGAGAAGGACCATGACATAGTCCTCATTTCTTCTCTTTGCCTCTAACTAATACAACAGAGACCAAATCTGAAAGGTGTAAATGCTTTGCTGTTGGGGAATTCTTTTCCAAGAGGCCTGAGGATTATAAAAATGGCTTATATAACTTGGCGTTTTGATGAAGGTCCAATAGAACAAAAAACAACAATTGAATTTTGAAATCTTCCAGTGGTCCCAGAATGTCTTCTGGAAAAGTCTCCATGTGTGAATTGTGGCCTCAAAGAGCAAAGAGAGGATTATTGGAAAAAGGTCTCAAAAATTTCATTTGATGTGGCTTGTTCTGCCAGTGAAGTTGAGGGCAAATATGTGGAGGCCTAAAAAAGCTCATGCTGGTACCATGTGCTCTTTGGAGGATACTGGGAGAAAGCAGGATAGGAGCTCAGATTATTGCTTCTTAGTAGTATTTCTTTTTGGTTTATCTTCTTGGAATAATAGAATGTGCTTCTGTGAGTAGCTTCCAAACTGAAAATTCTGACCACTTTCTTGGAAAGAGTATAATATTAAAGAGTTGTATTTTGTCCTTCGTAGCCATTATTGTCTGATCAGTGTGGATGGATCCCAGGTTTTTTTCCCCATTTCTTTAAATGTTGCTTTTGAAAAAAAAGAAGGCAATCTTGGTAGATTAAGTACATTACTGAGGTACTTACACCATCTTTAATAATAAAATTTGAAGTTTTATCTTGACCAGCAATTAAATGAAAAGTGAGGATTGTAATCAATTAAAAAAGCACAACTTTATTTTTATGACTGACATGATTTTAGCAACAAGTGAGGTAAATGGTTTTTTATAGCAACACAGTTGTGGAATCTAATCCCCTGCTCCCATGTGTTAAATGTCTTGTAACACTTTTCCTAATGTACAATGTCTGATTGACTGCATTTATTTCTTGCCTAATTTAGATAGTAATATCTAAAAGAGTTTTTACCTTCACAAGTGACTACTTGTTTTGGTTTTTTTATTTGTATCTTCAAATT